GTCTTAATTTTAGTTAACAATAACAGTGTCTTGAATGTATAATACATTGGAAGGACGGAGACATGAAAACACACACAGACACACACACATATAGCCTATATGAATGGCTAATTAAAAACATCTGAATATTATACAGAAAAAGGAGAGTTACTGTCTCGTAATATGGAGTATTTTAAACCACAATCCCTTCGAGTGTCTTGCTCGCCCCACCAGACTATGAATAAGACATTGATTTCACAGGAAAGAAACTGCAGTGAAAGTGTTGACAAACTAGAGGAGTATCATGTACAGGTGGATTAGTGTATGAACAGATGCACTCTTTTTCCTCAGGCATTGATCTCACGCCAGCGTTATTATGAGTCTGTGCTGCCGAGCATTCGTCGAGCTGATCTGGAAGCAGGGAATGCCTGTAGTGACAGACAGTGATCTTGGTCTCCTGTAATGAGCCACACTGGGAAGCCGGTTATGTGGGTTTCCTCTCTGAAGGATCCCAGAGAGGGTTTGTGTGTCTATGGGAGCTAATGAAGTAAAGCAGCCCCGGGCAGAGATCACACTTCTTCAGCTGCTCAATCTCTCCACATTATCCTCCAATAATCCTCAATTCCCTTCTCATCACTGGTCGGAGACCGGAGACCCTTACCCGATCGTCTCTGCATTTCACTCACAGTCACAGTCTGGATGCTGGAGATATCCTCATTAATGAATCTCTAAACAATACAAAATCTTACTAGTGACAAACTGGATTTGATATGTCCTTCATTTTAGCAGAACTGAGGTAGTCTTTTACAAATATTTGCTACTATGCTATACTAAATATATACTATTCAGATTAATAGACCGTATATGTTCTGATTTACATAATCACAAATAAAAAAAAATGCATAAGAAGCTGTTCTTGCATTAAAAAAGCTAAATGAAGTACAACAGAATAAAACATGATTGATTTCTATGTGATCTCATGAGTATATTTGTATGCATTTTTACGACAAGTGTGGTTCTACCACACGTACATTTACTTATGTTTCCATAGACTGAAACGTACAATATTGACATATTGACAGCACTAAAACGTAATTTATGTATTACCAACTTTATAGACGTACACAAGTGTATGAATCCTTATTTATGAATATTAAAATCGTGGCATTTTTTGGATCGCACATGTTTCACAACATCAAGTGCGCAACATCTTTAGGCTTGTGAAAATCATTAATTATTAAGTAAACTCTAATCGCATTTTTACGACCAATTATGAGTTAAAATTGCGAAATAACACAGGTTCGCAAGAATGCAACATTTAGTTGATTTTGAGGGACTGGCTAATGTCTCTACATTAGTATTATTAAGTGCATGATGTTGTGTGATTTACAGAAAATACTGAGATGATTAAATGTAACTTATTTTTGTTTATGAATTAATAATTTAAATGTAACCTTAAATGGCTATACAAGTAGTAATTTTATCTTTAACTTAAAAAATAAGAAGATGCATATCAGTTAGCTATTCTGATTCTACATTTTTTTAGGGGATTCACTGTACAGTATAAATATATTTGTGATTACACATTTAAATATTACACAATTCATCAGGATCAACTGCATCTAATGTGACTTATCATGAAAAAAGTTTAATCGATTCAGTCCCAATACATGTATTGGCAATTGTGCGGCTCTGTCAGCTTGATTCATGTGAGCAAGTGTTTTCACTCCTTATGGATGTCTGGTACTTAGTCAAAGAATTTACAAAATGTATCTTTAACGGTTTGGCCTACAGTCATCAGAACAATTCTGTTCTACATGTCTGTTGAATAGTACTGCTAACAATCTCATGTTCTCGGTCTACTCCAAATGATACGTTTTGTAACTGTGACCTAATGAAGCGTATCTGCTCAAACTTGACATTTACAGGAGATGGAGGATCTTTGTTAGAATAAAGCAATAATTACAAGCAGTCTGTTATGGTAGACTGCTAGAAGTATCACATTACAAACACAGATGAGTTGATGATTTTACTTCATTCTATAAATCAGAAATATTTGCAAATAATAACTGCAATAACAAATAATACAAATTCATAATAACACCACTAATAATAAATATTTAAAACAATAAACATTTCAGATTAATTATAATTTAATCCACCTGTACAGTTTTAAACAGATTCCAGACAGACAGAAAACCTGCATAACTAAATGAATATAATTATCCCCACTGTCCGTTTGTCCAGAAGATGCAGAAAATCTTCTCCTCATGCTTAATGATGACAAGGAAGGAAGCTGTTGAATTGAAATAATTGAGGAACAGCTGTGGTGAAACCTAAGGGCAGACTGGTTGCTTCTGGCCACATCTATCATAGTGAAAAATCTAGTGAAGTGAAGACCTTTGCCCAGTGCCTGCAGTCTTGGAGGTCAACACACTCATCTTGCTCATTACAGCTCCCCAACGGGCTGGCATTGACTCAACACCATCTTGGGTCATTTGATGTCTTTTAAAACTTTTACTGTTCCTCTGAGAGCCAAGTAGTTGTAGCCTATGTGTTGTATCTTTTCTAAATTTACATCAAAACAGATGGATGGGAACTATACAGGAAATGTGTTTCTTAATATTACGAATGCACACTGTAAGTAACAGATATATATATTCACACTATAGTGTTCTATTTTTAGCATGCACCATAAATATATATATGACATCTATGGAGAAAAACAGGGAGAGTGTGTGAGAGAGAGAGAGATATTAAACACTGAAAGGAGCTGCTTACCCTACCAAGATCCTGATGTTTAAAAATATATGCACCTCTGGGAAAATTCCACCTTTTTCAGGCTTAAGTCATTCCTCATATCACAAAAGAAAAATCTGCCTCAGGTGTGGGAATGCAATAATTTTCAAGGCAGGTGCCCATTGTATTAGTATGTCTGGCTGCTGACTGAACACTTTTCAAAACTGGAGCTAAGTGAGAGCTCTGGCTTAGAAGATAAATAATTATGGTTGTATCTGAGGAAACGTACTTAAATTAATGCTAAATTAAGGATAATTTTTTGGCTTCAGTATTCTCGAGAAAAGGGATTTTCCCGTAGCGTAAGCTAGCTAACGCAACACTCGTTCCCTCATCTAGAGAGAACCGAGGTTACGCTAGTGACCGAGTACATTCTCTTACGAGAGTACTCTCGTGTTGCGTAAGCTAGCTTACGGGAACCCAATGTAAAACGCCATGTGTGCTGGGGGGTCGTCCACACTTGGCCCCAAGGGCATGTGCCCAGGGTACACATGATAGTGGGTAATATCTAGGCCAACGAGGAGTGGGCCTATGAATATAACATAGCTATATATATGTTAAATGGAATGGGTGCAGCACAGTATAACAGTCAGGATGGACGAAAGTCAGCCTGAGCTGCATGACAAAATAATAATACAGTCTGTCATACAAATATCTTGGAGTGAAACCCCACTGGACAAGGCCCATGAAGAGGCCATGCCTCTGGTAGAATGGGCTCTAATGCCTAAAGGGCACCGAAGGCCTTTAGACTTATAAGCCAGAGTGATAGCGTCGACTATCCACCTGGAAAGGCTCTGTTTCGAGTTGGCTAGCCCTTTAGTGCGGCCACTGAACAAAACAAAGAGCTGTTCTGACTGCCAGAAAGCAGCCGAACGTTCGACGTACATTCTTAGCGCCCTGACTGGGCAAATAAGATTTACGTCGTTCTCACTATCAGATCCTGGGAGGGCTGACAGAGAAATGACTTGCACTCTGAACGGAGTGGAGAGCATTTTGGGGACATAGCCGTGTCTTGGTTTGACAACAACTTTAGAATGCACGTAGCGCATGCAATGCACGTAGCGCTCACAGTGAACGCGTGCAGATCACCCACTCGCTTGACTGAAGCGAGAGCCATGAGAAAAGCGGTTTTGAACGAGTGACACCGCAGATCCACAGACTGTAGCGGTTCGAAGGGGTCGCCCTTCATAGCGTCTAGGACCGTGGAAAGGTCCCAGACCGGAACCAGAGGGGGTCGAGGAGGGTTTAGTCTCCTAGCCCCTCTAAACGGATGATGAGATCGTTCCTTCCCAATGGCTGGCCATGCAAGGGTTTTGTAAATGCTGCTATGGCTGCGACATACACTTTGAGCGTGGAGGGGGACCTGCCCTCGTCCAGGTGAGAGGATATGTAATTTTCATTTTCGTGTTTTCAAATGTGAGTAAACACGGTCCCTTGTGTTAAAATTGCATGTGTTGAACTACTGTAGAGTAAACTGTTGAATTGTTGAAGGTGTAAAGACGTTAGACAGTATAGTATAGTTGTGATTTTGCTGTAAAAACTCGTTTTATTATGTATAGCTAACAGGGGAGCTCCAGTAAGGACACGTAAGTTGCGTCTCTAAAGTTGAGTTACATAAACCATACATCTTAAAGACGCTTATTTTAAATGTCTATTTACATCTGACAGGAAAATATTCAATAAGTATTGCAGAAGAGCACATCACAACATGAAATAGTTAGACAGTAGATTAAATAGTAGAAATAACAACATCTGAGTGATGTATGTGTGCTATTATGTAGAACAAATCTATAAAGTAACTAAACATAAGTTATTTATTTTATTTGTCCATTAGTACTGTTGATAAATTGAGGAACATTTATGTTGGATAAAAAGTTAACAACCTCAACATGTAAATGTAGTGTTGACCTCATAAATCACAGAGGTTATGTGAATCTTGTCAGGATGTTACAGGGACAGAAGAACTTATGTGTGTTTATCCGATGGAGAGTGGCTCATGAAGCTGAATGCTGCCATTAAAGGCTTTGAGTGAGTATACTACAGAAATGAATAACAACAACTATTTAAATATTAAGTTGTAGTTTATTTTAATTTCAAACAGAGCTATTACAGCACTTTTCTGAATCTTGATTTCTGTGGATTTGCTGCACAGCTTTTGTGGTGGAGCAGGACCTGCAAGGAAAGATGATTTTGTGAAAAAAAGCGTTTTGTCTTCTAAATAATACTGAAATCAAATGACATTGTGCTGTTAAAATGACTGCTTTTGTGTTATGTTTGTGCATTTTTGTAGGATCTGAAATGTCAGCAGACTGGTGTGAGCACTGAGGATGGAGAGCACAGAGCTGAATCCTGGAAATGGTGCCATGGATGAGACCCTCCATCACTCCACCTGCCCTTATGAGTCCCTCATCACTCCCCGCCCTCATGAGACCCTCCTTCACTCCACCTGCCCTTATGAGACCCTCCATCACTCCACCTGCCCTTACGAGTCCTTCCATCACTCCACCTGCCCTTATGAGATCCTCCATCTCTCCAACTGCCCTTATGAGACCCTCCATCACTCCACCTGACCTTATGAGTCCCTCCATCACTCCACCTGCCCTTATGAGACCCTCCATCACTCCACCTGCCCTTATGAGACCCTCCATCACTCCACCTGCCCTTATGAGTCCCTCCATCACTCCCCCGCCCCCGCCCTTATGAGACCCTCCATCACTCCACCTGCCCTTATGAGACCCTCCATCTCTCCACCTGCCCTTATGAGTACCTCCATCACTCCACCTGCCCTTATGAGTCCCTCCATCTTTCCCCCGCCCTTATGAGACCCCCCATCACTCCACCTGCCCTTATGAGTCCCTCCATCACTCCACCTGCCCTTATGAGTCCCTCCATCACTCCACCTGCCCTTATGAGTCCCTCCATCACTCCCCCGCCCTTATGAGACCCTCCATCACTCCACCTGCCCTTATGAGTCCCTACATCACTCCCCCGCCCTTATGAGACCCTCCATCACTCCACCTGCCCTTATGAGACCCTCCATCTCTCCACCTGCCCTTATGAGTCCCTCCATCACTCCACCTGCCCTTATGAGTCCCTCCATCACTCCACCTGCCCTTATGAGACCCTCCATCACTCCACCTGCCCTTATGAGACCGCCCATCACTCCCCGCCCTTATGAGACCGCCCATCACTCCCCCGTCCTTATGAGACCCCCCATCACTCCACCTGCCCTTATGAGTCCCTCCATCACTCCACCTGCCCTTATGAGTCCCTCCATCACTCCCCGCCCTTATGAGACCCTCCATCTCTCCACCTGCCCTTATGAGATCCTCCATCTCTCCACCTGCCCTTATGAGACCCTCCATCACTCCACCTGACCTTATGAGACCCTCCATCACTCCACCTGCCCTTATGAGACCCTCCATCACCACACCTGCCCTTATGAGACCCTCCATCACTCCACCTGCCCTTATGAGACCCTCCATCACTCCACCTGCCCTTATGAGACCCTCCAACACCACACCTGCCCTTATGAGACCCTCCATCACTCCACCTGCCCTTATGAGTCCCTCCATCACTCCCCGCCCTCATGAGACCCTCCTTCACTCCACCTGCCCTTATGAGACCCTCCATCACCACACCTGCCCTTATGAGACCCTCCATCTCTCCACCTGCCCTTATGAGACCCTCCATCACTCAACCTGCCCTTATGAGTCCCTCCATCACTCCCCCGCCCTTATGAGACCCCCCATCACTCCACCTGCCCTTATGAGTCCCTCCATCACTCCACCTGCCCTTATGAGTCCCTCCATCACTCCACCTGCCCTTATGAGTCCCTCCATCACTCCCCCGCCCTTATGAGACCCTCCATCACTCCACCTGCCCTTATGAGTCCCTCCATCACTCCCGCCCTTATGAGACCCTCCATCTCTCCACCTGCCCTTATGAGATCCTCCATCACTCCATCTGCCCTTATGAGACCCTCCATCACTCCACCTGCCCTTATGAGACCCTCCATCACTCCACCTGCCCTTATGAGACCCTCCATCACCACACCTGCCCTTATGAGACCCTCCATCACTCCACCTGCCCTTATGAGACCCTCCATCACTCCACCTGCCCTTATGAGACCCTCCATCACCACACCTGCCCTTATGAGACCCTCCATCTCTCCACCTGCCCTTTTGAGACCCTCCATGACTCCACATGCCCTTATAAGACCCTCCATCGCTCCACCTGACCTTATGAGTCACTCCATCACTCCACCTGCCCTTGTAAGTCCCTCCATCACTCCACCTGCCCTTATGAGTCCCTCCATCACTCCCCCGCCCTTATGTGTCCCTCCATCACTCCCCCGCCCTTATGAGACCCCCCATCACTCCACCTGCCCTTATGAGACCCTCCATCTCTCCACCTGCCCTTATGAGTCCCTCCATCACTCCACCTGCCCTTATGAGACCCTCCATCACTCCACCTGCCCTTATGAGACCCTCCATCACTCCCCCGCCCTTATGAGTCCCTCCATCACTCCACCTGCCCTTTTGAGAGCTTCCATCACCCCACCTGCCCTTATGAGTCCTTCCATCACTCCACCCGCCTTTATGAGTCCCTCCATCACTCCACCTGCCCTTATGAGTCCCTCCATCACTCCACCTGCCCTTATGAGTCCCTACATCACTCCACCTGCCCTTATGAGACCCTCCATCACTCCACCTGCCCTTATGAGACCCTCCATCACTCCACCTGCCCTTATGAGTCCTTCCATCACCCCACCTGCCCTTATGAGTCCTTCCATCACTCCACCCGCCTTTATGAGTCCCTCCATCACTCCACCTGCCCTTATGAGTCCCTCCATCACTCCACCTGCCCTTATGAGAGCTTCCATCACTCCACCTGCCCCTCCATCTCTCCACCTGCCCTTATTGCCTCAGATTGTGAAGCACAACACATCACGCAACAACCTCAGGGACGAAGGAATTGCTCACCTCTGGCGGTCAGCTGATTCATCAGAATAAAGCCACAGAATGGGAACTGCTGTGTTGAGATGGCAGTAGGATGTGGTTCAGTGCCTGTAGCCTACATAAATGATTGTAGTTTGAATAAAGCTTTGTTTCATATGTTGACTTGCATATGCATTTGTTTACTGTGTGATGATGCCTTTCATTAATTCTTTTACTAATTTATTAATATTTCTCATGGTTGTCCGTAAATAAAATATAATTATTTAGTTAATTAATGCTTTAATTAATTGTTTGAATGAAAATGTAGATATGTTCACTATATACACATCTAGAGTGTATTCATGCATTGCTATATCATAGGACAAACATTACATTTTGTTTGTTTTATTGAATTTTCAGTAAAAAGTAATATAATTAAGTATTGGTCAGCATTTATCATTGTTATTATTGTATGTTTTGGGGTGGGATAGCAATGCAATTCATTCTGGGGTAATATAAAGTTTTAATATTAATGATACGAGTATAAAATTAACAGTTTTCTCCAAAGGCGAATCTTCACACAGCTGTCCAACGTCTCCTTTGTGCAGACATACAAACGCTGAGGAAAACCGTTCTAGGTTTGATATGGCCAGCAGCCATATCACCCTGTAGCCCAAGACTGGTTGCCCACTGAAGCTAAGCAGGCCTGAGCCTGGTTAGTACCTGGATGGGAGACCTTCTGAGAAAACCAGGTTGCTGCTGGAAGAGGTGTTAGTGAGGCCAGCAGGGGGTGCTCACCCTGTGGCCTGTGTGGGTCCTAACGCCCCAGTATAGTGACGGGGACACTATACTGTCAAAGAGCACCGTCCTTCGGATGAGACGTTAAACCGAGGTCCTGACTCTCTGTGGTCATTAAAAATCCCAGGATATCTTTCGAAAGAGTAGGGGTGTAACCCCGGCATCCTGGCCAAATTTGCCCAGTGGCCTCTGTCCATCATGGCCTCCTAATAATCCCCATATATATATATACACTGATTGGCTTCATCAATCTGTCTCCTCTCCACCAGTAAGCTGGTGTGTGGTGGGCATTCTGGCGCACTATGGCTGCCGTCGCATCATCCAAGTGGATGCTGCACATTGGTGGTGGTTGAGGAGATTCCCCCTTCCATGTGAAGCGCTTTGAGTGCCTAGAAAACCAGTCTGCGTACACGTCACACACGGAAGCGTCCGCGCCCTCAGATAACTTGGGCATGGCTGTGGTTACAAGAGGTAAAAACAATATAAATACTGTTCGTTTTCTCACAAAAACCACTCGTTTCGTGTCTTAGGGCATCAATGTGTACTTACATTTACGAGTCATTAAATAATGTTTAATTTTGACTGCTCTTTGAGGAGGACCCCCTTCACCTCCATTGTATGACTGACAGACAACAACGGTTTTACCTAAAATTATCAAAATTGAAGATACTGTGGAAACAAAGACACCTACATCTTGGATGCACTGGAGGTAAGCTAAAACATATCAAAAATTTATTTCAAAATGAACTATCCCTTTAAGTAAGTACTTATTGAAATTAACTACCTACTCATTGAGTATGCGGTTTCGAACGTTTTTCGTTTCTAAACAAATCAGCGTTTTTTTAATGAATCCGTTGAATCAATGATTAAATGACTCACTCATGAAGAGACAGTATCTCGTCGCCTCCTACTGATGTATTAATGTAAATAGTAGTGGAAAATCTGCACCACTAATGCATAGATTGTCTGCCTGGAACGCTCAAAATAAGGACACACAGAGTTATACAAACATTGATAATCCCCGGTGCTATTAAAGTCAGCATGATATGGAAGTTGAGATAGTCTTTTCTTTCCTTTATACGATTCTCGAACAAGGGTGGGAATCTTTTTTTGTTCCCACTGTATATTGTCAATTACATTCTTTTGTGTCTCTGACATTAAGAAATCGACTGACTTTGTTGCTTAGGCATGTCACTACCTCTCTGCAGACTGTCAAATCCCTGTTTTAGCCCTACTGCTGTGATATCGTCAGTGAATTTAGATGATGTTCCTTGGGAGCCTGGAGACAGAAGATGTTGTGGGCCTGAAGAGCACTGAGGACATGTCTCTGCAGGGCGCTAAAGCTCAGGGTGCCAGAGCGTGAAGTCTGGTCATGGATTTTAACTATATTCTGTCAGTCAAGAAGTCACGGATCCAGCTGCATGGGGTCAGTGCTCAGTCCCAGTGAGGAGAGTTTGCAAATTAGGGTCTCAATGATAGTGCCAAGTTTCCAGTGACAAGTACTTTGCCCAGACTGAGATAAAATGCTGTGCAATGTGGCACAAGCCACACCATTTAGAACATCTATCCATCCTATAACAGATAGAATGTTGTAGTAATCATATAACTGTAATAATGATGACAGTAGTTCTTTGTCAGAAAAAAGAAAGAAAGAAATCCACTCCTTCAAAGAAAGGTATTGTTGAATCCATAACTATGTTTATGTAGATGCTCATTTTTGCAGCTTCCCAACAACCAGTTTATTCGGTTTGTGTATGGTAATAGTGCTTTTTGGGTGACAGGACAGCCTCAGTTAACACAATGGAAATCAAGTGGAATAATGGAATCGACTTGTTTCTAGTTGATTTAAACCAACACAGATGGTAATGAAAGTCTTAAGATCAACCAACTGAGCGTTTATAATGTTGATATGTGCCACTTTCCATATGCTTAATGGCTTTATGTAAATGCTTAGAATGCAGGAATCCTCAGGATTCCTGACCTTGAGGCAACTGAGATGCCATGTCCTAGCCTATTGAGGGTTGTGCTATCAAGACAACCCAGAAATATTAATTAGCTGAAACAGATTGGTGAAGAGGGTTGGTCCAAAATTGGTCAAAATTCTTATAAACAGCTACAAGACATATTTTTAGGAGTTTTTTTTTATTTTTTATTTTTTGGTCAAGGAGGATCTACACTCCATCCTGCACTGTTAATAATTATAAAATTATAGTAAAGTTAAATTATAGTTGTTCAATAGAAAAATACTTAAGTAAAAGTTTTAACAGACACAATCACACAATCACACATACATGGGTAAAATGGGAAGTGACAGAAGGAAACCGGAAACGGAAACAGGGAATGACGCTATGAAAAATATTCATTCTACATGAAATGAACCATAAGCTTATTATTTTCAAGGTACCTCGTTAAGAGGACTTTACTGCTTACCCTAAACCTCTGTTTTGTCAGTTAATTGTACAATACTCACATTGCCGTTGCAGTTGAAGCAGTTTCGTAAAGTTCCTATTTTGATGGTTCGGTCAGTCAATGGAGTTGAAGTTGCAATCGATTTCCTCTTCGTTGAATGAAGAAATGATGAACTTGCATGGTTAGTTTGTCTCCGTCATGTTCGAAGAAGTTGCACATGGCTTGATGTGTTGGGCCTACCGGCCCACGACCCCATGGGTTTCCTATCACACACATGCACAGCAACCAGTAGAAGCAGGAATAGAGGGAGGAACTTGTGTAGATGCTCTATAAATCCTGAGATAATGCACATCTCTAAGGGTTGGCTTGACCAATGAGAAAGGTGGAATTTCCAAGTGGTAAAATTCCTCTATTGGGAGGTTTTATGGCTCTTTGTCTCAAGTGTGGGTTTCACTTTATTTGGATGGTCCCTTTAACACATTCAGTGGACTATAAGTAACGTTGCACCTACATCTCTACTAACTCTCACTAGAGTGTTAGTAGAGTATTAGTAGACGGGTAGGGTTAGGGATAGAATAAGTTGACATGTAGTTGCAAAGTTACTTATAGTCAGTAGAATGTCTGTTGGAGGAGAATCACAATAAAGAGTTGGCAGATATTAAGCAGACAGTCTACTAATACTCTAATGAGAGTTAGTTGACATGTAGTTGCAAAGTTACTTATAGTCAACAGGATGTTCAAAAGGGACCTTCAAAATAAAGTGTTACCCAAGTGTGGGTAGAGGTGGGCCTGGCCGCTTGTATCCATTTATACTCAGATTAATATAACAAACACATACTGCATTCTATGAGGTGATGTAAACTAAAGTGTCAGTCGTTAAATGAGTATTAATTCGACAGGAGACATGCTAGGCTGGGTTACATTAACTAGTAGTTCTCTCATAGGGCATGCATAAACCAAAATACAATGCAAGATACATTACATGACAGTAATAACTCATAGGCCTACACACAATGTCCTGGGATGAATGTTCATTTTTAGATCTGTTTGTCTATAAATTCATGTAGGAAAGTCTGTTTTGAGGGCTATGGGTCTTTCCTCTGGCCTGAATCGAATGACTTCAAATGAGCTCTGTATTCTTTTAAGTCATAAAACCATGGCAACCAGAGGCCTGGTTATATTACTTTTAGGGGTTGTCACAGACACCTTAATGTGTGGTCGGTGAGGCGTTTTAAAGATTATTTGTTAAACATAACAATTACTTGCTTAGCTTTTACCTGCACCTGCTGTTTATTGATTCTCATGGTCTCTAAACAATTGTTATATATCTGCTCCTCTGTGACAAACTTGAAAGATATTGTGTTGTAAAACATGGGATATATTGTGTTTAGTTTATCTGTGTAGATAAACATTTACATTTATTTTAGAATGTGCATTTATTTTAGAAGAGGGCAACACTAAATTGTGTAATTTACAGGACATTATGGACCCCTTGGTAACACTTAAAAACACAGATTTTTTGTAGAGTTTTGCAGAGTTTAAAAAAAAAAAAAAGTTGCCTGCCAACATCTGTATTTTTGATCATGTTCACAAAAGTTTTATGGCCCCCAGAATATTGTTGTATGAATATTTGAATATGGAGAAGAAAGAAAGAACAGACGCTCTGCTTTTAAACAACAACAAAAAAGTTTTCTAGCTTCATGCATTCCATTTTTTATTAACACTTGAATGTGGGTAAGCACATTTTGAACATAAAACTGAGAAAATCCCGTTTTTGTCAAAGACTACGTCTGGATCAGATGCAG